CTGTCATAAAAGCGGGAACGGCCTGTTTGGGGTACCCGACAGGAGGCCCGTCGCGCGGCAAGAAGGCAGAGTTAGCGGACGAGTCGCAGCGCGTGCTGTGCGATGTAGGACGTACAATGGTACATTCTATTTCACTTGACGCGAAATCACGAAATCATACAGTACGTGCTGACTCGTCCGCTGACCCTGCTTTCCTGTCGGGTACACGGGGTATCCTTCCCCTTTGCTTATCTGCTTGTTCAAGATTCTCCCAAGCCAACTCCATTGCAGTTTATTCGGGTTATGCGATAAAGGATGAAGTACTAGGCGTTGGGTAATCCCCTTTTCTTATGCTAAACGCATTCTGCTATCATTCAAAATGATAGAGGTACTTTAATAAGGTGTGGGCGACATAATAAATTACCGGTGCTAATCGAGCCGCATAAGTCAGTTTTTTTTCTTCCAGGCAAGTATGATCAGTGACGCCACGCAGGGATGGAAGGATTGGTTGGCCCTGACGGCCTAAATGTCAGGATATGATCCTCGACCGTGCTCTTGGTGAGCAGCGCCTTTCAACACCACACTACGGCTACTGCTCGGCTTATACCGGGGCATAGAGGCATAGAACATTACTTGCAATAAACTACAGCTGGCCACCAATTCACTAATCACCTATCACCCTTTTCCAACAACAAAAAACAAGAAGGTTGGATAGGAACAGTCTTCGTTGGGTAAAGTGGTGCAGCGGAAGGAGGTAAGCAAACCAGCCCTTTTGGCGTTTCGGCTGGGACCGTATGCTGAATGTTGGGGAGGGGATGGGGTCCCCAACGGTCGACGGTTTACTTCAACTCGGTTGGTACGATAGGAGAGTACTGACGCAAGTGGTGCAGCTGGTCCAGCAGCTCCGCCAGAAGGGCTGGTTTGCTCACCCCAGGACTAAGCCTTGGAGAGGGGACGGACCCGTCCTCTCTTTAAGGCTTAGTTCTGAGGTAAGCACCAAATTGTGGCGGTTCTAAGGACCGAGTTGAAGTGGTCCGTCCACCGTCGGGGACTCCATCCCCTCCCCAACATTCAGCATACGGTCCCAGCCGAAGCGCCAAAAGGGCTGGTTTGCTTACGTCCCGGAGGGGGTGGCGAATATGACAAGTACGACCTGAAGATCATATTCTGGACGGTATTCCGCCAGGGCTTTCATTCTTGGTCGTTAAACAGCACCCCCTTCGTCTGTTACCACAAAATCACTGTCTTCTTCAACGCCTGGTCCAAGCAAATACAGCTGCAGAATCATCGGCATCAAATAGCCACTGCCCTCTAACTGAAAGTTGAATATGTGGCGCATCCTAAGAGAGATTGATCAACGCAGGGAGCTTTCTCGTCTTTATCTCAAACCTAACGATCGATCGTGAGTAGAGAACAGCCTACGGCTCGGACCAAAATTTGTCAAACAAGCCATGTATGTTTTTCAGCAAGTGGCAAAGAATAAAATCGCAGTGCTGCCAAAACGACACCGACGGCTGTCCATTCCATTCCTTCAACGGGCTCGACACATGCTCATTATTCGTTGAGACCTCATCGTTGGCTGCTTGGTAGGTCGAATCATTTGGGAGCGTACTCAGGTTACCGAGAGAAGCTGGAAAGCAATAGAGCTGAGGTGTTCAGGAATGGCGGAATAAACCCTTATAACATGTACGCCAGTTGTGTCAATCAACCTGGTACCACCCCTCAACCTGGTACCACAGTATCCACTCGATTCCGACTTGAATACAAACAACGAACCGGGAAAGAATTGGATACTTCGCAGGTATTCGTTGTAGGACCATTTAATGTTCACGAGAAAAATATCGAAAAATATAGAAAAGGGAATAATAAAGATGATTTTAGTTGTCCACAGTACCATGCATGAACGAGACTGCTGTGACGACATATCTGAATCGTCCAGATGTGCGACGAGCACTTGGAATTCCTACCTCTCTTGGACCGTGGGCAATCTGCAGGTCAGGTACTGAATGCATCTCGGGGAGTCATGCTATCAAGGCGGATTTTTTCAGTGACGAGATCAGTAATACATACAAAAAGCAGTACGGCGATGACACGGCGTAGGTGTATGACACGTCCACTCGACCCAACAGGACTGAGGTTGCGCACAAAGTAAGACATGTCCTGTATATTAGAACAGGAATACAAGCTTCCTTAGGTTCCCTCCGTCTGTCTTCCTAGTAACACACCTATTCTTTTCAGCAATTGATCTACAGTGGCGATATCGACATGGCCTGCAATTTCCTGATGGGACAACGGTTTTCACGCAAGCTCGGCTTGAAGGTGAGTTACGCAAAGGATCAGCCAGACCTGTTTCAAGCCCGTCGAGATCAATTCCCCTCTGGTTTGCTCGTAGCAAGCGCAAGCTTAACGATAAGGGCCGTGAGACGATGGGTTGAGTCCCGTATTGGAAGCAGGGTCATCCGTGCGTTCGCACTATTCGAACGAGGGGTCGCATTTGTGGTTGGTTTTGGTGAGGGGGGGTCGCATTCAGGGGTTGAGTGGGATCAGTAGTTTGTTGGGTGAATGGTTTAATGGTTTTTTGAGGGATTTTGGATGTCATTGGGAGGTAGGATAGGAGGGAGTAGTAGAGAATAGTAGAGAGTATTTGCTGTTTCATTTGACTTATCCCCCCCCCCTCAGGTTGTGATCGAAATGATGTGCTACTTTGTTTCAAAATCAGAAAAGAAGTGTAATGAGGAAGATATTGGGAAGAAGAATCAAAAGGCGCCATAGAAAACACTGGAATACCCCTGTGAGATTGGCGGTACGGATGATGTCATACTTTGCAAATCGAACTTTGCGCCAGCGAATCGACCGATGCACCAGCGAGTCGAACGATGTACCAGCGACTCGACACTGTTTGAAAGTGGCGGGACCCAACGTTCAAAGGAAGTCCACTTTAAAGGAACACACTGTTTGAAAGTGGCGGGACTTCCTTTAAACGTTGGGTCCCGCCACTTTCAAACAGTGTTGAGTCGCTGGTACATAGTTCGACTCGCTGGCGCAAAGTTCGATTCGCTGGTGCAACGTTCGATTCGCTGGCGCAACGCTCGATTCGCAAACTATGACATCGGCCTATGACGGAAAGACTCAGCGCAGCGAGCAGAGGGAAAACGCAAGGCAGGTAGTCGTACGCGAGAGAGCGCAAACGCCACGTATGGCGCGATTGATAGTGTGGCAGCATCGGCAGCAGTACAAGGCAAGGCTTTAGGGCCCTTGCCGCGCACTTCCGCGACACGGCAGTGTCGCGGCTCTTGGGCTTGGGTACCCCTCCTTCTTACTGCAGGAGGGGTGCCTCTTGGCACCTGATCTCTACTTGTGGCTTTGAAGTCTCTGTTGGCCAAGTGGGGACGGCCGCCTTGGCAATGGCGTTTCACAGCGACGATTATGTAAACAGCTTCCGGGTCGGACGTGACAGTGAACTGAGAAAGAACTCCACATAACTATACTCACATGGTCTGCCTGAAAAATCGCAAGCAAATAAATAACAAATAAATAAAATGCCAAACTGATGCACAAATAAAGCATGGCATGCTGAGCACACGATATTCATCAGTTTTTGAGTGGTACGGAGAAATTAGCGCGGTAACAAAGCCGCCGACCGCGTCGCAGATCCGAACATGCGCGATCCAAACCAAGCCTGGCTAACCATGGAACGGAAATGAGAGGGGATAAAACATGGTACCCGACAGGAGGCCCGTCGCGCGGCAAGAAGGCAGAGTCAGCGGACGAGTCGCAGCGCGTACTGTAGTGATTTCGCGTCAAGTTAAATAGAATGTACCATTGCACGTCCTACATCGCACATCACGCGCTGCGACTCGTCCGCTGACTCTGCCTTCTTGCCGCGCGACGGGCCTCCTGTCGGGTACCCACAAAGTATGAACGGCATCAGTGTTTTATGTTTTGAAAATAAAACATGCAGTATTAAGGAGATTGCCGCTAAGAAGCACTATATTGTTGACGGACAAATCGCCGGTTTTCACACACATTACGATGGTCTTCATTTCGTTACAGTTAGGGTGAGTGGGATCTGTTCAAAATGCCCAAAAGTGTTCTTAATATGTACATTAAACATTGTTCAGGGCGCTGGTCACATGGTTCCTACAGACAAGCCGTCAGTTGCGTATCACATCATCAACTCGTTCCTGTTCGACCAGTCATTTTGAGCTTTCAAAAAGCAATCGCTGTAGAGCTATCTATCAAATGTTGTTGTTGCTAGTGCATAAACATCCTCAGGCGATCCAGCTGATCTACAGCTCTTATTCAAAGAAGATTATACGTGCCGCGAGCAATAAAAAACATTTTGTCTCCACAGTTGATTGTTTGCTAAATTCAAAAGAAGTGCTCCCGTCTTCAATTGAGGGTTAATCGGCCCTTCATGTTCACTGCAACAAAAAAAACCTGCTAAGGCGAACATGGTTGCACAGCCCGAGATCAATAGGGGGCCTTCGAAGAGGAACGTGGTAGCTACTCTAGGTGATGCAGATTAAGATGGGCTTTCTAGAGCTCGACGGCAGGTGGCAGACGAGTCATCAATCTGAAGACGGTGTGAGTAGCAATGGAGGGGCTTTTTTTCTACTTGTAGAGGGACACTCTATGAATGTTTCCGAGTAGCACTTCCGTCAAGGGCGGTATCCTTTGCAACAAGAATTTTCTGATGAGAGCGGTTATCAAGATGTCTTTTTGTCCCACCCCCTCCGCATAGTAAAAGGAATACCCTTGGATAGCGAGGCTAACTACCTGGAGGTCTATCCTAGCCCGCGACAGAGCCTGGCAAGCTACTCGTGTGCCTTCAATATGCCGAAAACAGCAATATGGATGGGCCTCATTCCCCTGAACCTGAGGGAGCCCCCAATACGGCAGCGTTGGGTAGGACCGCTCGGGAGAGGCTGCTAGAATCTCAGGGCCCGGATAGGCTGCCTAAACGAAGAAGGACTAAGATGGCGATCTGTACTTTCAACGCACGAACGCTTGCATCCGAAGCTCACATCGAAGATCTGATGATGCAGGCCAGGAAGATCAAGTACGACGTCATCGGACTGACCGAGACGAGAAGGCACCGCCCGCTACACGCCGTTTTCGATACTGGAGAAGAACTGTTCCTTGGAACATGCGACAGCAGAGGCGTTGGCGGTGTGGGTGTCCTCGTCAACACGCACTTGGCCATAAACACCTTCTTCAAGGTCATCGTCGGCGACTTCAACGCCAAGATTGGCCCGAGAAGAACGGCTGAAGAACTTCACATCGGTACTCACGGAATGGATTGGAATGAGCAGGGCGAAAGACTGTCTGAGTTTATCATGTCGACCAACACCATCCATGGTAACTCACAGTTCCAAAAGCCCCCTCACCTTCGTTGGACTTGGGAGTCACCTGATGGACAGTTCCATAACGAGATAGACCACATCATCTTCAATCGAAGGTTTTGCCTGACCGACGTCGCTGTTGTTCCAAAGTTCTACACGGGATCGGACCATCGTCTCCTCCAAGATTCCACTTCTCGATGCGTGTTGAGAGAGCAGCAAAGTTCAGGAAGCGAAGCCCCAGGACAGTCATCAACTGGGACCACTTCGCTTCCCTCGTCAGCTTATGGGAGGATTCCGTCATCGAAAACATCGACGAGGAGTACTATCGGCTCGTTGAACATCTTCACGATTGTGGCAAGAAGGCAGAGAGTTTGAAAGTCACCAAGGGACGTCTGTCTCCGGAAACTCTCGAACTGATACGCCAGCGTGGAGCCGCACGAGCTGCAGGCAATCACCGACTCACGTCCGAGCTTGCGAAGCTATGCAGAGAGGCGATAAAGGAAGATCTCAAGGAGCGAAGAGCAGCAGTATTAGCTGAAGCAGCAGAGGCTGGGAGGAGCATCCGCAATGCCCGCCGAAGCTTTGCCAGCTACAAGACCAAGATGACCTGCCTCCGACGTCCGGATGGAACAGTTACTGCATCCCGAAGGGCAATGGAGAAAGTCATCCACGACTTCTACTCGGATCTCTTCGATAGCCATGTCCATCTGCCCACTTATCAACTGCAACAGGATGGATACGTCGTCCCCTCAGTACTCTCTTCCGAAGTCCGACACGCCATCAAGTCGGTGAAGAATCGTACAGCACCCGGTCTCGACAGGGTCAAACCGGAACATCTGAAGAATGCGCCGCCAGTTCATCATCAAAACTCTGGCTCGACTCTTCACGCGCTACCTGTCGGAATGCAAGGTACCCACTCCGTGGAAAACCAGCAGGACCGTGTTGCTGTACAAGAAGGGAGACCTGGACGACATTGGCAACTATCGCCCAATCTGCCTGCTGTCTGTAATCTACAAGCTATTCACTCGAGTCATCCTTAACAGGATCGGCAGAATACTAGATGAAGGACAGCCATGCGAGCAAGCAGGGTTTCGAAGAGGGTTCAGCACGATCGACCATATCCACACGGTTACAAGACTCATTGAAGTTTCACGAGAGTACAAGATGCCGCTTTGTCTCACGTTCATCGACTTGAAGAAGGCCTTCGACTCTGTGGAGACAGAAGCGGTCATCGAAGCCTTGGGCAACCAGGGCGTCCCTACTCAGTACATCAAGATTCTTCGTGAGCTCTACAGCAACTTTACGACCAGAATCTCACCATTCTACAAGGAGGTCATCATCGACGTCAAGAGAGGGTTCGACAGGGCGACACCATCTCGCCCAAACTCTTCAGCGCCGCTCTCGAGAACGTCATGCGTCAACTGGAATGGGAAGACATGGGAGTGAAGGTCGACGGCCGGCAACTACACCACCTTCGTTTTGCTGACGACATCGTTCTTATAACGCCGAACATCGAGCAAGCGGAGCGAATGCTGGCTGATTTCGACTGCGCCTGTGGTAAGGTCGGTCTGCAGCTGAACCTAACGAAGACGATGTTTATGAGAAACGGATTGGTTCCTGATGCCCCATTCACGCTCAACGGAACGAACATCACCGAATGCTCCAGCTACGTGTACCTAGGTCGGGAAATCAATATGATGAACGATCTAGCTCCAGAGCTGAGCAGGAGGAAACGAGCGGCATGGGGAGCGTTCAAGAACATCGAGGGAGTAGTGAAGAAGACGAAGAACATCCGGCTCCGTGCCCACCTCTTCGATTCCGCTGTCCTTCCTGCCCTAACCTACGCCTCAGAGACTTGGACTCTGCGCAGGCAGGACGAGCATGCGGTCAGCGTTATCCAACGCGCTGTCGAGAGGACGATGCTAGGAGTAACCCTATACACGCAAGTGCAGAGGGGAATCCGGAGTTCCGAACTACGCCAACGATCGAAGATCAGGGACGCTGCCGTTTTCGCCAAGGAATCGAAGATAAGGTGGGCCGGACACGTCATGCGATTTTGCGATGACCGTTGGACCAGAGCGGTTACCGACTGGATCCCTCGGGACGTCAAACGAACACCTGGACGACCGCCGGCCCGATGGTCAGACTTCTTCACGAAAGCTCTGAACGAAAGGAATGAAGACTTCGTGTCCCTCGAGCGAGGAGGGTCCACTGGACAACTCTGCACGCGACAGGGACGAATGGAGACGTTGCTGGCGCCCGCTCGAGCAAATCGACGATCAACGGGACGACAGGTGATACAGGTGATCACCACATAAAAACATGACTTTGTTTCCGTGGATGTCTGGTTTCGAAGTCACCCTCAGCTGTCCATCAGCCGCCAACCACGGTCGTCTTCTCGCGTTGTTATTGGGAAACATCTCTTTGTAAAATGCGGTCAACACGAAGTCAAGAACCTTTTTCCTCTTGAAGTTATGGAGCGAAGTTCCAGTATTGGCAACCAGTACTGCTTGCTCGCGTCGCTCAGAATAGGCCGAACCCATTTTCTATCCTGAAAGGCCTTAACAGTCGCACGTAGGAACTTTTAAATTTTTCTGTTGACACAACTGAATCTCCATGCAAGTTTTGTGCGGTTTGTCGAGGACTCAATTCGTTGGCTTTCTTTATTTCTCCGTCATCTAGAGCTAGAGGTCAAAATCCACGACCTTCGTCGCCAGGTCCTTTACCTCAGTCTTGGAAGAGCTGAAACCATAGCTGAAAGTGCATCAGAGACTAAGTGTTACTGCTCAATGTTTTGCACACAATGAGTGGGATTCGTTGGCCGTTTTTCGTTGCTTGAATATATACGCTCTGACGATGATTTCTGATCAGTCATCTTCAAGCAAAAGTTTTGGCTCGAAGAACATCATGTTTCGGATGACGCCAGCTCAATCGATATTTCGTGGAATAT